TCAGCTATAGATTGGAACAGGTCCAGCCCCGTCAGACTTTTTCCAAATTCACTTCAACCGTAACAGCTGGAGAACAAATCAGGCAAATAATCGGTAGTTCTGTGCGCTAATTTCCTTTTTGAGGAGCTTCAGCAGCAGTAATGTCGTTGCAGATATTTCAGATATCTCAGACTGAGAAATAATCATGTTTAGATCATTTAAATGTTATTAATGTCAGCCAAACCCATTTGCAGAAGGACTGATAAAACATTTCAATAAACCAAAAATTACTGCAACATATTCACCATTTAAATTAACTATCTTTAATAATTTAGCGCCATGCTGGACATAATCAGCCGATTAATCTGCCCTAAAGACGATGCAGCTGCCGTGTTAAAAAACAATTTTCCTCTCTTCTGTAAACACATGTGATCGTGGCATGAGGAGTTGTTGCAAATTCAAGGAAAATGCAACAAACTTTCCTCTGTTACAACGAAAAAATTTGTTACGAATCTGTATGATTTGAATTGACTATAAAATCCTAAAAAAAATCACATTTTGTGATTCTCCCCTAAGTAAACAAAATATATTGAATTTGATTTAATTTGATAAAGTCAATCAAGCAATTTGGATTAAAGGTACACTATGCAACCGGCGTTGATTTTCCATTGAGGCTCCCCCCAGAGGGTGAAAGTAAAAGTGCACTGTCGTAAATATGCACAGCTGTTCTCCTGGTTTCTCCGTCAAGCCAGGCGCGGTTGTTTTGAGCTTAGCAGACAGGCGAACGCAACGAATCACTAACAGTGAAAGTATGAACATGCACACAGAGAGAGAGAAACCATTCCAATGTTACTTACAATCGCATCAGCAGAAACGCGAGGTCCGCGTCAGCCTTGCAGCCTTCTTTTTATTTTAGCTCTCGCCATTCGGAAAAAGCTTGCCCGATGTTCACCCGTGTACGACTCCTCTCTCTGTCCGCAGCCCTTTTCCTCTTTCTTGCCTGCTTCGACATGGGCTTTCGCTGTTTTCACGCTTGTTCCGCCATGATAACTGCACAAATATCGCCACTGCGCTAGCAACGAGCATGCTTTTAACTGGGGGGGTGTAGCAGTTCTCGCCGTAAAGCAAGACCGACTCTCGTGAGACTTCTGAGCCTGTGGGTGCGGGCCGAGGGCTCCTGCAATTGCAAGTGCGGTATTTCCCCTACAGACCACCAGGGCGACCGAGAATACCTTTGTTCAACCTGAAATGACTCATTTAATCATCCAAAACGTTATGGAACACATTAATTAACTGAAAATTGTTGCATAGTGTGCCTTTAAATCTCCAGATATCTGGTTTGTAGCATAGCGCTGCCCTGCCACCTGTTGGCAACCTGTTTCTCTGTGGTTGCCCTGAAATATTGAATCAGAAAATACTTTTATTAAAAAGCTCAAATTAGAAACTCTCGTGTCCATTAATGAATTTAAAGCAACCATGAAGAATGTAGTGATGGAGATATGTGCTTGTTTCTCTTGAGATGCTCAATGTGTTTTAACATACTGCTCTGATTTTATTTTTTTATGCTTTTCTTTTTATTATTTTTTTATTTTTCAATTCTTTATTTTTTATTTTGCAAAATGTAATATGTTGTAAATATGTATGAACTTCCTGTGGTTTGGCTGCTACCTTGGCCAGGTCTCTCTTGAAAAAGAGATTCTGAATCTCAATGGGACTTCCTGGTTAAATAAAGGTTAAATAAAAATAAAAAAAAGTAACTAAAATGTATTTATACTGCCATTCTTTTTACATATAATGGATAAAAGCAATCAAACAAGTAGTGTTTAAAACTAAATTGTCAAAAAGGCTTTTTCTTAATAAAAATCTGCTTTGAAAGGGAGATGTAATATAGCTTTTAAAGACACAGTTTATAAAACTCTTTTTATTTTATAAATCTATGTTAAGCATATAAAAGTGTTAGGTACCGTAGTTTATATTTACCGTCCTGTTGCCGTCTGAGTCCGTCTAACAGCTCCTGGTTGATTGCAGCAATAGATGCTCCTCTAAGCTCCTTGCTGAGGTGCTTGGTGTGTTACACACCCAGCTGTTTGTTCTTAGTAGGAAACTATCAAAGCTCCTGCAGTTATAGTGATGCTCAGACTGATCAGCACTGATGCAATCACTGAACACTGGATCCTGCCTGATTTGGATCTCACTCATTTCGCATAACATTTTATTTAGCTTGGACTTCATTTGTTCCTCCATTGTGACACAAGCAAGAGCAGGGATATAAATGAGATGAGCTAATTCCATCTGGTTGACAGCGTCCCTGAACGTAGGCCATAGAACAAAAGATAAAATGGGTTTTATGGTCTCACCGAGGACAGTTTAAGGACAAAGATGATGCAAGCATTGATGTTAGGGAGTTTCTCATTTTACAGCATGTTTGGTTCAATAGTTAACAGAAATCCACCAAAGTCACGCAGTAATTTAATGCACTGCAGGATTTCAGCCCAACTCTTAAACATCTTCCTCTTTTTCATCTAATGTAAATTTGTTAGCTGTTGCAATCACAGTTGGAGTTTTCCCACCTTCTTTAAGCTTCATCATGGTTCATTTAAAAGAATATTATTAAAGATAAATAACTAAATATTAATGACATGTAATTTATCATCATAGGGAGCAATAAAAAAATATTTCTTTACAGAATAATTTTAGCTCCTCCGCTTAATGAATGATATTAGTGGACACATGTCCCCAGTCTGACTCTTTAACCTTGTTTTCCATTAAGGGCAGGACATTCTTTACAGAAATAAGCAGCTGATGTGATGATAAGCACAGAGGAACCAGCAATTCTGCATTGCAATTGAATTTCCGTTTATTTATCTGATGCCGATTTACAAGAAATGTCATCTCACTTTACAGATGGAGTCATACGGTCAGATTGGTCAGAGGTTTTCTAAGGAAATCAAGCTGATTGCATCTGTTCTGACTTTGCAGGATTTGCTTCTCCAGGATGACCGTGTGGTGTCTGCACTAACACGCTTTCTGGATTTACGTCCAATTTGTAATATTATCTCCTGCTGAGCAATAATTTTGTTTGAAAATATTTTTGATTTTCAAAAAAAGAACACATCGTCTCCACCTGAGCCTGGCACACCTGGAGGAGAAGAACACCCACGATGGATGCTGTTCCTGGACTTCAGTTCAGCTTTCAGCACCATCATCCCACAGCATCTGATGGGCAAACTGGAACAGCTGGGCTTCAATACACCCCTCTGCTATTGGCTGCTAGACTTCCTCACCAACAGACCTCAGTCACTGTTCTCCCTGCTGCCCTCTGGGAAGAGGCTTCACAGCATTCAATGCAGGACCAGCAGGTTCTGCAGCAGCTTCTTCCCCACCTCCATCAGACTAAACAGTTAAAAAAAACTCTAAATCAAGTCACCAATCGAGACTCTGCATCACACTGATGACTTCATGCCAAATAGAACTAAACCCAAATGGTTTTCCACTGCATTTCTGCAGCATAGATTTATGTTTGGTTTGACAATGCTCTGAACTTCCATATCAATGCATTTTTGCACCGTGTTTTTTTCTCCCACACTGTTTACATTTATTCACTGCTGCACCTTATAGAATGGAAATGTTCACTTTTAAGTTGCTGCTCATTCACTGTCCGAAATCTGTATAAAAGAAATTTGGTTTTGTATTCACTCTGTTTAACTGTTTAAACATCTGTTTAAGTATTTCCTGTGTTAGTGGCCATTTTTATGTTCTCTTCGAAATTATAAAAGATATCTTTCAAAAACTGAATTGACTGTTTAAAGATAAATAATAAATTCTAGCATATTTGTTTTGCTAGTGCAGCGCCTGGTTCTGCTGGAGGTTTCTTTCTGTTCAAAGGGAGCTTTCCTACCCACTATCGCTTCATGCATGCTTGGTGTGAGGGATTGCTGATGAGTCAATGCAATCAGCTGGTTTTCAACTTTGAACCAATCTCTGAATGATTTGGTTGAATTATTTCTATAAAGTGACTTGAGATGACATCTGCTGTAAACTGGCGAAACAGAAATAAGCAAAATTGAAATGAGTTATGAGTGAAAAGGACAGAAGTCAATATTTGATTTGTAGTATAGAACTTAATCGACCGCTGTTAAATCACATACACCTTGGATAATATAGGTTCAGTTTTAATAGTAGTCTTTACAGAAAAACACAGGTATGCTATAGGGAACAAAAACAGGACATTTTAAAAATAACGGCTTTCCTTTAAGAGAAAATTTGCAGCGACCTGCGGTTCCAAGCAGTCAGTCGCTTTAGTCTACCTCTGTAGTGCTCTCCTCGTGCTGATCGGTGAGAAGGACAGACATGCAGTAAACTAATTTGAGGTGGGAACAAACACTTTACACCTTCACAGTGGCGGCTCTAGACCTAATGTACCAGGGGGCAAATAGGGGGCCAGGAGGGGGCCTGCGTTGTTTTCAAGGAGGAACAGAAAAGCATGAAATAAAAAACAGGACAAGGGATTAAAATAAATGAAGAGAGCTGCATAAAGTAAAATTTCCATTCAAGTAGGTTTAATTAAAATTCTATTTCCTATTAGGTCAATATACATTGAGGATTTAGGGATTTTACATATTTTTCACTTAATTTACATTAAAATTACCGTTTTTTTTATAAAATCTGAATTAGAACTCAAGAAAAGCTGATAAATTCCCCTGTAAAAATTATAGCATTAAGAAAACATTTGTTAGATGAAAACTGGGATTCTATCTCAATACCACTGAAGCCTCATTATCGCCTTATTGTCTTTAAATATTTAGTAAAACAGAATTTACAAAGAAAAAAAAGTAACAGTTTTATGTCTTCAGTACAGGGGTCAGTACATGATGTACAGGGGCACTGACCCCCGGTGGCCCCTGTCTAGAACCGCCCATGGTACCGTCACATGACCTAGTAGCGATAACATTCGATGGTACCAAAGGACGCTGGGCGGGTCTTGACTGACGCTGACCAATCGTAGCACACATGGAGCGTTACCAAGGAAACGGCGTACAAAGCTACGTGCCGTTGAGCCGCAGCCGGACGGCAGCTAGCTGAGCTGCTTCACTTTCAGCGGTAAAGTCAACCTTCCGTCCCGCTGCTGGACGTTCCTGCCCAGCGAAGGCTTCTGTTATCCGGCTGGTAGCTCAGCCCGCCTTCCGGGGGCTAGTTAGCCGCTTAGCGCCTCTAACGGACTGAGCGGCTCCGCTGCGGGGATGGAGCCCAGCTAGCGGTGGAGCTGACTGGGACGGTCTGGTCTGGCCCTGTGATTCACCGGAGAGACCCTCTGTTTCCCCTCAGAGACCCACCCAGGCTCGGTAGAAGCTCCGCGCTGCGGGCTGAGATGAAGAACCGAGTCCGCGGGACCGGTCGCTGAGGCTAAGCCAGGTAAGCCGCCTCTGGGTCCGGGCTCCGTCCTGCTTTGGTTCCCCAGCTTCAGCTGGATCAGATGTTTTCTACCAGAAGAACGTTTCAGATGCAGAAGATCCGGATGGATGGACCGGATCAGAGCAGCCTCCTCACCGCTGGCTGATTAGCATCTGATGGCTGCTGAGGAGGGAATGAAACTATGGAGGAGCTCTGGAGGCAGATGATGCTGCTGCACTCAATAACCATTCAGACATAACGGTGCAGATTAACAGGAAGATTAAAGCTGTGATTTTCTAAGGTGATATATTCCTCGCCATCCTCTGTTTGGATTCACCCGTTTTATCGCGTAAGTTTGGAATCATGAGATTTGCAGAGAAAGGAGGTGCTGATGGGTTTGAACTTCTCTGTACGTCCATTTCACCCACTGAACTATCGTTATTCATTTATGACAATAGAAACTCTGCATCTATGACCCTTAATGAAGACAACTTCCCAAAAAAAGCTTTGCAATGTGAGATCAAGAGGTTTTTATGTACAGTTTCTTAAGTTTATGGATTTTTTTTTTATTAGAAAGCAGTTATAGTTTAATCTGATCCGATGCACATCCACCTGCAAGCACATGGCAACAGTGGAGAGGTACATCTCGGTTTTAACAGGAATAAACCTTCATCCTGGACGTCTGATCTGATAACAAACTTCAGGCGATTTCTTTAAAATCCCCCATTTTTCAGAACCTCCCCATTTCTCATGAAGCGTAGCGATGCTTCCAACTGACTGTGAGCTTTACCTGCGTCAGGTGTGACAGCAGCTGCTTCCTGTGTAAAGGGAAACTATCAAAAATGATTTGTTTCTCTAAACCATTAGATTTAGACACCGAGGACTCAGTTCATAGCTTCTGTCAGCTAGATGCAGATATCAGAGCGCTAAATATTGAAGGAGCAAAGCCACCCGATTGATTTATTTTGTCTTCCTTCGATGCCTTGTTCACATCCTGATGAAGCTGTTTCTTCACTTTTCTGCTAACCTTTGATCTTGTCTGTAAAGAGAGAATTATTATTAAAGTTTATAATGTTAAAAATCAGATAATGAGACGAGAGGAGCTGGTTTGGCTTTAGTTCTCCTCACTGTGATCCTTTAGGAAACCTGTTAAGCTCAGGGAATAAACAGAAGCCATGAGGAAAGCCAGGAGGTCAGCTGATCTCCCAGAATGTGACCCGATCTGAGGTTTAGGACCTGAGTGACGCTGAGGTCCTCCTGCAGCAGCTTCTCCTGACCGCGGTCCTTCTGAGGGAGCAGGATCTCCTTCATTCATCCTCAGCCTGTCTATGTGTCTGCAGGATGGACGTGTGCGGAAGGAACCCGAACCGCACGGCGCCGGTCAGTGAGGACGCTTCCCGGCGGTCCGACGTGCCGCTCTGCTCCCGGACAAACGGCTGGAGCTGGCCGCCTCATCCCTTCCAGCTGCTGGCGTGGCTGCTGTACGCCTACTTCGCCATCGCCGGCTTCGGTGTGTTCGTCCCGCTGCTGCCGGCGCACTGGATCCCCGCCGGCTACATCGTATCCTTCCTGTTCCCAGCAGCCATGCTTTTGGGGTCAGAGGTCAGCCGGGGCTGACTTGGTCTCTAATAAATCATTTATTGAGGGTGCTTCTGATTGGTTGAACAGAGAGGGAAGCCCAGTGGTTAGATCTGAAGGTTTCCTGGTAGATTCAAACAGACTTAGTTACATTCTTCCTATTTTTATTTTTTTATTTTTTAAAAGAAAATCTCCAGATTTTCTTTTTTCTATTTTTTTTTCAACTTTTTGTTTTTCAGATGGAGTTTTTACTAGGGATGCACGATATTGGGATTTTGGCCGATATCCGATATGCCGATATTTTAAAACTCATGTAGCCGATAACCGATATCGATACCGATGTTAAAGCTGGACAAAAATAAGTAGTCATTGAAAATAGCAGCTTTGTTATCCATTTCTGACACTTTGAAAAATAATATACTCAAATATATTTTCATACGCTGATATCAAATAGATTTTTAAAAACGCGGTATCGATCTATTTTACTTTCAAAATCTCGTGGAATTTCTTCGTTCTGTTACAAACTCTCGTGATATTTTGCAAATTCTTTTGAGATTTTGTTAGTAAAATAGATCGATACCGCGTCAATATATCAACATATAAAAATATGGCAACATTTGGTGAATTTTCGGGGGATTTCGTAGCATAACGATGACATATAGCAATATTTCATTAGTAAAAGAGATTGATATGGTGTTTTTAAATGGCAATATATCAGCATATGAAGATATTGGGATATTTTAATGTATAAATTTTTTTCCCTCGTCTTTAGAAGTTTTTAAGTCTGTAAAAAAGAAGTTTTTGAGGAAGAAGAAGAAGTAGTATTTTTTTTTTTTTTTAAGACTTTAGAAACTCAGAAGCTGATCAAATATCGGGTTAAATATTGGTGGGGTGGCCGATGTCCGATATTCAGTGTTAAGGCCGATACCGATAGGGGGCCGATTATATCCTGCATCCCTAGTTTTTACAAATGACCTTCTTTTCAAGTACCATTTTTAGAGATCACATCCTCTTCACTTTGAGCCCATTATAAACGTTAGCGATAAAGATGCTGTTCTAAGGCCAAAATACAGACCAATAGAAAAGCATCATCTCTCCTCATTCCAGAGAAAAAACTGCTATCTACAAGAGAATGTGAACTGAAAAACATATTTAGGAAAGAACACAAATCAAAAGCTATATGTAGAAAAACAGGAAATAAAAAATGAAAATGTCAATTCTGTAAATAAATAAATAAAAAATCCAGCTTCCAGATCCCCGGTTGAAGAGAGGAAAAAATCTGGGTTGGTTTTCAGTTTCCTGTTCTCCACAGTCTGACCGTTTTTTTCCACCACGTCTCAGTCTGAGTCCTGAACGGCTGCTCAGTGCACGGGCATCATGTTCGCGTGCCACCTGTTGGTCCACGTCATGGCCGTGTCCATCGACCCGGCCGACAACAACGTGAGGACGAAGAGCGACAGAGGCCCAGTCCCCATGTTCGACCGCTCCAAACACGCACACGTCATCGAGAACTGCCACTGCTACCTGTGCCAGGTGGATGTGTGAGTAATAAGCCCAGTTAGGGAAGCAGGTTATCCATCAATAAATTAATCCATTGATCACCGACTCATTTATAAGCTACAATTAAACAAACCTGAGTTTTCTCCAGCGATGGTGAGATGAAGCCTCATGAGGCATTGAACCATTTTGGCTAATTGCTTCAACGATCCCCACAGTTCATGAAGCTTCATCTCCACCTACTGGTAGAGTGCAGAACTACAGTTAGTAATATAATCTGCGATTTCTTTTTTTCTCTATTCAAGTTCCTTTGAAATTGTTAATGATCCGTCTCTATAATTAAATCTTTTATAAGTTTTTTGTGTGTAAAATGTCTTGGAAGAGAAAAAAATAATTTAAGGTTCACTGTTTTTCTGCCGTTTTAGTAAAATAAGCTCCAGCAGACAGTGAAAGTGTTTGTGCAAATTGGGCAATGATGAGATGAAAGGTGTTAGTCATTTTTATTTAAACAAAAGTTAAAGTTTTTGGTTTTAATCGGGTTGGAAGTTATGTGTTCAACCAATCTTTTGGTGAAACAGACCATTCTAATTTGGCAGCGTTTTACGCGATCTATAGCATTTCTCAATTCACTAGACCATGAGTACAGACTCGTGTCCTCACCAAGTATGTTCTTGAGAAGAACACCGGAAACTCTGGACACTGGGAGAACGCAGAATAAATCTGGGTTAATTGGAACAGAGACGTACTGATGACATCACCACACGCTCGGCTCGTCGGTAGCTGCATTTCACCTCCTGTTATTAATAGTCTCTAGATAATAATAAACTATTACTTTTTTCGTTTAGTGGAGGAATAATAATGAACACAGTCGGATAAACACAAATCAAATTAACAAATTAGCCCTGGCTGCTGCAGACGGGCTAACGTTAGCCCTGGCTGCTGCAGACAAGCTAACGTTAGCCCTGGCTGCTGCAGACGAGCTAACGTTAGCCCTGGCTGCTGCAGACAAGGTAACGTTAGCCGTGGCTCCTGTAGACGAGCTAACGTTAGCCCTGGCTGCTGCAGACAAGCTAACGTTAGCCCTGGCTCCTGTAGACGAGCTAACGTTAGCCCTGGCTGCTGCAGACAAGCTAACGTTAGCCCTGGCTCCTGTAGACAAGCTTACGTTAGCCCTGGCTGCTGCAGACAAGCTAACGTTAGCCCTGGCTCCTGTAGACGAGCTAACGTTAGCCCTGGCTGCTGCAGACAAGCTAACGTTAGCCCTGGCTCCTGTAGACGAGCTAATGTTAGCCCTGGCTCCTGTAGACGAGCTAATGTTAGCCCTGGCTGCTGCAGACAAGCTAACGTTAGCCCTGGCTCCTGTAGACGAGCTAACGCTAGCCCTGGCTCCTGTAGACGAGCTAATGTTAGCCCTGGCTCCTGCAGACGAGCTAACGTTAGCCCCGGCTGCTACAGACGGGCTAACATTAGCCCTGGCTGCTGCAGACAAGCTAACGTTAGCCCTGGCTGCTGCAGACGGGCTAACGTTAGCCCTGGCTGCTGCAGACAAGCTAACGTTAGCCCTGGCTCCTGTAGACAAGCTTACGTTAGCCCTGGCTGCTGCAGACAAGCTAACGTTAGCCCTGGCTGCTGCAGACAAGCTAACGTTAGCCCTGGCTCCTGTAGACGAGCTAACGTTAGCCCTGGCTGCTGCAGACAAGCTAACGTTAGCCCTGGCTCCTGTAGACGAGCTAATGTTAGCCCTGGCTCCTGTAGACGAGCTAATGTTAGCCCTGGCTGCTGCAGACAAGCTAACGTTAGCCCTGGCTCCTGTAGACGAGCTAACGCTAGCCCTGGCTCCTGTAGACGAGCTAATGTTAGCCCTGGCTCCTGCAGACGAGCTAACGTTAGCCCCGGCTGCTACAGACGGGCTAACATTAGCCCTGGCTGCTGCAGACAAGCTAACGTTAGCCCTGGCTGCTGCAGACGGGCTAACGTTAGCCCTGGCTGCTGTTGCCCTCGGTCAGCATCTGTGCCGTTGCTAGCATGTCTTCTTCTGTCACGTTAAAAATGTTTTGTGTAATGCTCTTCACATCTCTATCATCATGCACAGTGGCAACATTGGTGCTATTTAGACGATAACTAGGAGTTGTACGTTTTATTTTCTCAAAATCCGTCACGTAAAGTTCACTCTACATCCTTGTTGCCATTAAACAGTAGAATTAACCAAGACTGGGCTCTGGATTGTAGTTCTGCCTCTACTGTGAACCTTAGCGCCCTCTAGTGCACAACGCTGACATTACGACACTGAAATGCATCCCTTTAAATCACCGGGAACGTTTGTCCAGTAAAACACGTTCAAATGAAATTAAAAACACGTATCATTTATTGAAAAGTATGTAATAATTTTATATTTAAAGTACTTTCAAAATTTTGAATTTGGAATATGAACGGACTTTAATTGGACCTAATCAGATGAAACCAAAAATCAACAATTAATTGCATATTAATTATTTGTTTAAATCCTTAATCTCATTAAAAAAAGGTTAAAGGAATAGTACACCCAAAACATGATCAGCCTTCATTTTCTACTCACCCCCATGCTGAACAACACTCTGGAGTACTTTTTTGATATCTCAAATGCATCTGGAGATCTGGGAGGCTTCTTGCTGTCTGCTGACATTCAAATAATGGAGGTCTATGGCGCCCGAGACAGATAGGTCCATAAAAGTCCACAAAAAACGTGTCAATATTCCTCCATACTGCTCGTCCAATGTATTCCAAGTGTCCTGAGTGGGTAGCATCCAGAATTTACTCGAAACGAAGTCATTTAGAATGTTTTTAGAGCATAAACAGTAGTGTATAGGATTTCCTGAAAGCGCGTTCACGAGTCTACGGAAACCGCGGCAGACCAAACCAGATGAAAGTGCGCATTCAGCTCGGCAAAGAACTCATGCTCTTCCTCAACACTGAAGTCCTCAGACATTTTTCTTTCGTTGTTTCTTTCTTTGCACAGGTAAACAGCACATTTCTTCTTCTACGCTTGCATTATCAGCAGAGCAGACGCTGAATGCGCACTTTCATCTGGTTTGGTCTGCCGCGTTTTCCGTAGACTCGTGAACGCGCTTTTAGGAAATCCTATACACTACTGTTTATGCTCTAAAAACATTCTAAATGACTTTGTTTCGAGTAAATTCTGGACGCTACCCACTCAGGACACTTGGAATACATTGGACGAGCAGTATGGAGGAATATTGACACGTGTTTTGTGGACTTTTATGGACCTTTCTGCCTCGGGCGCCATAGACCTCCATTATTTGAATGTCAGCAGACAGCAAGAAGCCTCCCAGATCTCCAGATGCATTTGAGATATCAAAAAAGTACTCCAGAGTGTTGTTCAGCATGGGGGTGAGTAGAAAATGAAGGCTAATCATGTTTTGGGTGTACTATTCCTTTAAGAATGGAAAAATAACCCTCAGAGGCTGCTTTGTCTGATGATCGGAGGTTAGGCTGATCATGCTGATGATGCAGGTGTGTTTACCTACCTAGACTCCACATTTCCACAGAGGGAGTCATTAATGGCTTCCCAGTGGAGGACCGAGGGCCTCCGCAGGCTGCTGACTGCAAACACACAGATTAAACAACAACAACAGTTCCTACAGCTTTAACCAGAACTTCTCACTTTCATTTTATTGTTTAGTTTAGAGGGAAAGTTTTCAGCTTCAGCAGATTTTATTTTCAACAGTTTAGGTTAATTAGATGCAGAACAATAAAGAAGTAAAAGGATGACAACCAGTGTTGTTTTTGACAGCCATCCTAGATTTAATCTTAGTCTTCAGGAATAAAACTATTATTAGTATTAGTCACATTTTAGTCATTACGAAATGTGATCGTTTTAGTCGGTTTTAGTCGACTAAAACTTAAAAAGGTTTTGCTATAGTTTTAGTCAGTTTTATGTTACAAAAAAGTGAACCTTTACAAATAGCAGACCTAGTTCAACGCGTAATTTTGGTTAATATAGCAGAAAGACGAGGACAAAATGTCCAATAAAGGATGAATGATTTTAGACATCCAAGGTTTCCATCCCAAAGAAAACTCTTCCTGATCTACGAGGAATTCATTGCTCCAAAAAAGCAAAGGACAAAAACATCTAACTTCCTAATTTGGTCATTTTGGCTTTATTCCTGAGAATTTACCTCTTAGTTACTGCTGCTTACGGGTCAAAGTAGACTTAAATTCACAGTGATATAAAAGAAAAAAATACAGAGAACCTACATAATTGCCATGGCAACCCAGTTGAAATCTTCTGGGGGACTGTCAATGACAGTGAGACCTATGGAGGCCTGGTTGGAACATTTTATGCTAACTAAAATGTTGAAATATTTAATGACAAAATTTTACATCATATTTTAATACACAGAAATGATAACAATGAGAAATAGGAAATATTCAAAGATCTATTTACATTTTCATCTGGATCTTTATCCAAAAGAAAAAGAACGCAATGAAATATTTTCTTTGGATATAATTAATCCAATTAATCCAAATACTGGAACTGATCTCAGAAATGTTACCCATCGACCAACTCATGACATGTCTCTGGATTTCTATGTTTGCCTGTTGGAACTGTTGTCTGTCCACCATGTTTTTTTTTATTATTAAACATGTTTCCTCATAACTGAGGCGGGATCATGTAACCATTCAGGGCACATCCTTCATTGCACTCCGATTCCAGACGTTTCTGCAGCTGCTATGCTTCAATAACTGACAGCTACAGGGAGAGTGGAGGGAGTGGGTGTGGGGGGAGTGGGTGTGGGGGTTTCCACAGTGAGTAAATTCTGGGCAGTAGACCATTAAATAAGCAGCTCCTTAGAGCCAGGATGCTCTATGGAAGCTGAATCCAGGTCAGTGGGCTTGTTATGTCTCCGAGGAGGACCCCTGAATTGGGTCAGAGAGGAAGCCCCGCCCCCCTATGATCCTCTGCTGCTGCTGAGGCCCCGCCATGAACCAGAAACTCAACAACCCAATTACAAAAAAATTCATATTGTTGTTTTTTAACTTCTCCTTCCTTTGATTTGTTTTATGTTTGTGTGTGATTTGTCTCAGGGGTCCTAAATCCAAGCACTGCAGCGCCTGTAACAAATGTGTGGCCAACTTCGACCACCACTGCCGCTGGCTCAACAACTGCGTGGGAAGCAGGAACTACAAGTGAGTTTTCCTGTCTGTTGTGTTCACCGTCCGACCGTCTGCAGGTTCAGCTGCAGGAGATGGAGATTCTGAGGAGGATTGAATCAGGGTGTCTGCAGGTCATTAAAAATCATTTTTAATTAAGGTCTTAATCCGCATTAAAATTCATTACATTTGATTATCATTTATTAAAGAAAAAAAGTTTATAAAAACAATTTAGCCAGATATACCAATTTATTTCAGTTTATTTAAAGTTGACTGAGGATTCACCATGTTATTTATGCACATATATAATATAAATAATGCTGTGGAGCCCTGTTGCTGTGCGGCGCAGCGTTATACCTGTAGTCGAGGCGTTCACAATAGAAGACATGGACTGACCCAAACAACAAAATAACTGAATGATCTGAACATATACAGAGGTTTTTTTATCTACACAATTAATTTTGATAGCAGGAAAATATCGCAATATATGGTGATATTGCAATATATTGATAATATCGTATAATATCGTATCGCAAACCAAGAATCGTGACACAGATCGTATCTCAAACCCCATCCCAATACTCATCCCTAGCGATAAGCTGGTTGACCACCTGTTTGAAAAACCGTGTTACCTCACTGACCTCAGTGGGAAAGAGGCTTTTGAGTTCCACCTTTATGTTGGTCGCCCTCTGCTGAACTCTGGAGAACAATGTAGAAAAACTGTTCTGCTACGTCTTCATTTGGAGTCAGCTTCTTCCTGTGACGTCACGTTTCTTCCTGTGACGTCACGTTTCTTCCTGTGACGTCACGTTTGTTTCTGTGACGTCACGTTTCTTTCTGTGACGTCAGGGTTTTTTCTGTGACGTCACGTTTCTTTCTGTGACGTCACGTTTCTTTCTGTGACGTCACGTTTCTTTCTGTGACGTCAGGGTTTTTTCTGTGACGTCACGTTTCTTTCTGTGATGTCACGTTTCTTTCTGTGATGTCACGTTTCTTCCTGTGACGTCACGTTTCTTTCTGTGACGTCACGTTTCTTTCTGTGACGTCAGGGTTTTTTCTGTGACGTCACGTTTCTTTCTGTGATGTCACGTTTCTTTCTGTGATGTCACGTTTCTTCCTGTGACGTCACGCTTCTTTCTGTGATGTCACGTTTCTTTCTGTGACGTCACGCTTCTTTCTGTGATGTCACGTTTCTTTCTGTGATGTCACGTTTCTTTCTGTGACGTCATGCTTCTGTCTGTGACGTCACGTTTCTTTCTGTGACGTCACGTTTCTTCCTGTGACGTCACGGTTTTTTCTGTGACGTCACGTTTCTTTCTGTGACGTCACGTTTCTTCCTGTGACGTCACGGTTTTTTCTGTGACGGCACGTTTCTTCCTGTGACGTCACGTTTCTTCCTGTGACGTCACGGTTTTTTCTGTGACGTCACGTTTCTTTCTGTGACGTCACGTTTCTTCCTGTGACGTCACGGTTTTTTCTGTGACGGCACGTTTCTTCCTGTGACGTCACGTTTCTTCCTGTGACGTCACGGTTTTTTCTGTGACGTCACGTTTCTTTCTGTGACGTCACGTTTCTTCCTGTGACGTCACGGTTTTTTCTGTGACGGCACGTTTCTTCCTGTGACGTCACGTTTCTTCCTGTGACGTCACGGTTTTTTCTGTGACGTCACGTTTCTTCCTGTGACGTCACGGTTTTTCCTGTGACGTCACGGCGCCTTCCCTGTTTCTGCTAATATTGATCAGCTGTCTAGGAGTCTAACTCCAGCGCCATCTAAAGTCCGGTCAGCAGGAATAACCAATGGATCATTATTTATACCTAAAACTAATACATTTGCGGTGATTTAATGAGTTTAGTGTTAATCAGTAAAAAAATAAAACAATAATTTTCATTGCGATCACAGAGTCTGGGAGCGGCCATCTTTGCCCAAATATAGTAACCCCTCCCTCCTGCCATCTTCCGGCAGTGATGTCACGGTGCGGTAAGCCTAGCGCCATTGACCGGTCTCCTCCTTTGAAGTGCCACAGGCTTTGAAATGAATCAGACACAAAGGGTGTTCCAGTTGTCCCAGTTTGCTGCAGTGTTTTAGTTTTATTTACATTTTTCCTGCTGTTTTGCTGCACATTTTCATTTTTTTTATTTCCAGAAAAGTCCGCGGCGCACTGGGATCCGATTATTTTCAGGTTAAATGTGAGGGAAGATGTGAAACCAAGGGCGTAGGTTTGATTTGAACTTTGGTAGGGACACTATTGGTCTAGTGTCATTGGTGCTATGCAATATGCATGCCCTTTTTTATGCTCGATGTGAGCATCCGTACTGATAAGAGGAATTCATTGTTGAAAGAGAAAAGCAACATTTTGCTCCATTAATAAAAATGTTATAAGCTCTACACTCATTAGATGCTGTTTATCAATGTTTGAAGTATCACCGGCTCTGATGAATGTGGAATTAGGACTGTTTTCCACTTTGAAAACGGTTTCATTTGAACGACTAAGAGAGAAGGTAAATACAGTATTTTCTTCTGAAGATATAGACTTGTGCAGAGTTAAACCCCACTCTAATATTTGTACCTACTATGCTCTCTCTGTATCAAGCAAAATAATACATTCATTAAAATATTAACTTCACTATAAAAGTTGAACATCTGGGCTGTAGTTACTCTGTGTCGCCCATTTCATGTATTTAATCTGGGGCTGAAAAAATGAATTATATTAATTGATTATTTCAATAATCGTCAACTAATTTAGTAAGTGATTCATCATTAACTTGAGTATAGAGACTTTAAAACATACAGTTATATAAATGTAAAATGTGCCTTTCCCCACAGAGCAACCCACTTAGATCAGTTATTATATCAAAATTGTAAAAATAAAAACAAAAAAATGAAAACAGTAATAGCAACTAAATATCGGTAAAAAGGAAACCCTCACATTTTCTTTTTTAGTTGGCTGTGGCTAAGAATCAGAAATGTTGATGGCTTACAGCCTTTATTTGCCCATTTTTCCAGCAGTCTTCAGAACTCCTGGCTGACTCAGAATATTTCGTTTTATAAAAGAAAAAAAAAGGATTTTGTTTTTTTTAGTGCACATGATATTCATTTTTTTTATTGGGACTAGTTTTGTAGCCTAATATTAATTGTAGTAACCGCTGCATTCTAGTGTGAATAAATTTTCACTGTTGTGCTCCAAGCACACGCGGACTAGAAAACAGCCAATCAGAGAGAGAGAAGGCGGAACTTAAGGCAGAACAACCAATAAGAGTTGAGTTAAACAGCGCAGCACAGTTCCATGCGCTGCTACATGAAAGGGACAGGAGAGACCAGGCAGAGGAGCTGCGAGAGGAAAAGAAGCCACTGCTGCAACAACTACTGCTGTAAATTATAAACATGTTGCTCACATCAAATTATTGGTAGGGACAATTAGGTCGGTTAAAAATTTTGGTAGGGACATGTCCCTATGGTCCCTATGCAAACCTACGCCCATGTGTGAAACAGTATGGCCGCCTCGGCTCCATGTCTTCCTGTTATCTGCCATGGTGCCAGCATTGTCATTGGTCTCCTCTGTCCTGCAGGTTGTTCCTCCACAGCGTGGTCTCTGCTCTGCTGGGGGTCTGTCTGGTTCTGGTCTTTGCCTCCTATGTCTTCATTGAGTTCTTCTTGGATCCATCCAAACTGCGCACCGATAAACACTTTCTGGGTAAGATATGACTGCTGACCCTGTAGAAGAAGGCGTGGACGCTGTCGACTGAGACAGGTGTGTGCCTGTGTGTCCACAGTGCAGAATGAGACAGGTGTGTGTCCACAGTGCAGAATGAGACAGGTGTGTGCCTGTGTGTCCACAGTGCAGAATGAGACAGGTGTGTGTCCACAGTGCAGAATGAGACAGGTGTGTGTCCACAGTGCAGAATGAGACAGGTGTGTGTCCACAGTGCAGAATGAGACAGGTGTGTGTCCACAGTGCAGAATAAGACAGGTGTGTGCCTGTGTGTCCACAGTGCAGAATGAGACAGGTGTGTGTCCACAGTGCAGAATGAGACAGGTGTGTGTCCACAGAGCAGAATGAGACAGGTGTGTGCCTGTGTGTCCACAGTGCAGAATGAGACAGGTGTGTGTCCACAGTGCAGAATGAGACAGGTGTGTGTCCACAGTGCAGAATGAGACAGGTGTGTGTCCACAGTGCAGAATGAGACAGGTG